GCCCATATTTCCACTAACGTTTATTTTCCTATTAATTAGGGAGTTTCTTTGAAGTTTCTTGTTGGTTTCCTCTTTAAAAGGGCTCCGCCTTAAGTTAAATAAATATATGAGAAAATTGTCCCAAATCTCCTGTCTCTTATCTTCTTAACCTCTTTCTAATTTCCTTTTAATTTCTGGCTTGAATTCCCCTGTTAGAACCTCATCAGTGGTATCAGAGCCTAGTTGTGATCCAATGGAAACGCGCAAGAAAACCCTGGAGCAATTTCAGCAAGAAACAACCGAGATGTTCGACCGGTTGATGGCAGAAATTCAATCCCTCAAAGAGAAAAGTCCGATTCCTGCCTCGGGTTCGGGTGGCGGCAAGATGATGGTTAACGGGGGTGAGGGGAAACCGTATTTAAAGCTCCATTTTCCACGATTTAGTGGCGACGATCCTACCGGATGGCTTTATCAAGCGGAACAGTACTTTGAATTCCAGAACGTGGCGGCGGCAGATCAGGTCAACTTGGCGTCTTTCCATCTCGATGGTCTTGCCCTCCAGTGGCATCGCTGGTACACGAAAAACCGAGGGCCGTTGTCTTGGATGGAATTTTCCACCGCTTTACTCACTCGTTTTGGACCCACCGAATATGACGACCCCGGTGAGTCGCTCCACCGTCTCAAACAACAGACCACTGTGGCTGCCTATGTGGAAGCCTTTGAAAAGTTATCACATCGTGTCGATGGAGTACCGGAAAGTTTTCTAGTCGGGTGTTTCATTGGTGGATTAAAAGAAGAGGTCCGGTTGGAGGTTAAGCTCAAAAAGCCTCGTACCGTGGTGGAGGCGATCGGTATTGCAAGGCTGGTGGAAGACAAGCAAAATTTACAGCGTAGGGCTCCAGGGTATTCGAAGCCCGCAGGGACCAATCCATCGCAAAGTAGGCCCAACTCCAGCCCCGGAATACTAGGCCCAGGGCCCAATTCTCGTTTGGCTTTACCTGCTCCAAACCATATCCGTAGAATTTCAGCATCCGAAGCTCGTGAACGCCGAGAAAAGGGTCTCTGTTATTACTGTGATGAAAAATATGCCCCGGGGCATAAGTGCAGCAACCCTCAACTCTTTATGATCAGCGAGGTGTGTGAGGCGGAGGAGGAAGCTCCGGGCGACGCAACTCTGACCGAAATCCTGGACGAGACGCCAGCGGAGGTATCTTTCCATGCTATTTCTGGGTCTATTCTCCCTCAAACACTTCGGTTACCCGGAAAGATTAATAATAAGGATGTTGTGGTTTTGGTGGATGGGGGAAGTACCCACAATTTTGTTGAACAAGCTTTGGTGGACCGATTTGGCCTCGCCATCGACAAAGGGGTTAAACTGGAAGTCGTGGTTGCTAATAAGGAGAAATTGATTTGTGTTGGTAGCGTGCGTGATCTCACGATTATTATTCAGGGCTGCTCCATAACCACTGATTATTTTGTCTTGCCGGTTGCTGCTTGTCCACTAGTTTTGGGTGTCCAATGGTTAAAAACTTTGGGTCCGATTGAGATTGATTTTAATCATCTAACCCTTGGCTTCCACATTGCTGGCTCTTCTCACAAATTGCAAGGGTTGACTAATACTGATATGTTAGCCTTGAAGTCTTCTGAGTTGATGGGTATACACGGCTCAGCGTTGCTCCTTCAAGTTAGCCCAGTGTTCCCCGACGACCCGCACAGTCAACAGCCTTGTCCGGTTATCCAGCAGGTCCTCACTCGTTTTGCTGTCGTCTTTACCGAACCAACTACTCTTCCTCCTGAGCGACTCCAGGATCATGCCATTCCCTTGCTTCCCGGATCCAAGCCAGTCAGTACACGTCCTTATCGCCAACCTTATGTTCAAAAATCTGAAATTGAGAAGCAGGTGCGTGAGTTACTGCAACAGGGCCTCATCCGACCAAGTCACAGCCCGTTCTCCTCCCCGGTTTTGTTAGTAAAGAAATCGGATGGCACGTGGCGATTCTGTGTTGACTACCGGGCTCTGAATGAGCTTACCGTTAAGGACAAATATCCTATTCCCGTAATCGATGAGCTCCTCGATGAATTGCACGGTGCTACCATATTTTCGAAGCTCGATCTTCGCTCTGGCTACCATCAAATCCGGGTTAGGCATGAGGATATCCATAAGACGGCGTTCCGAACACACGAAGGGCACTATGAGTTTGTCGTTATGCCATTCGGGCTCACAAATGCACCGGCCACCTTTCAATGTTTAATGAACGACATTTTCCGGCCATACCTTAGTAAGTTCATCTTGGTTTTTTTTGATGATATTCTCATTTATTCAAAAAGTTTGGATGATCATGTGAAGCACTTGTGTCTTGTTTTGGATCTGTTGCGTGTTAACCGTCTCTTCGCAAAGGCTTCGAAATGTTGTTTTGGCGTGAGTCAGGTTAACTACCTGGGGCATGTGATTTCTGCTCGTGGGGTTGCGGTTGAGCAGGAGAAGGTTCAAGCAGTGTTGTCTTGGCCGACGCCTACCACCATCAAAGGGGTTCGGGGTTTCCTCGGGTTAGCCGGGTATTACCGGAAGTTTATCAAGGGTTTTGGAGAGATTGCCGCCCCGCTACATAAACTAGTTGGCAAAGGGCCATTTAAGTGGGATATAGCAGCAGAAGGCGCCTTTCGGACTCTCAAAGCAGCTCTCACGACAACTCCCACTTTGGGTCTTCCAGATTGGTCGCAGCCGTTCACGATTGAGTGTGATGCGAGTGGGGTGGGGATCGGAGCGGTTTTAACCCAGAGGGGGAGACCCTTAGCCTACTTTAGTGCTCCGTTAAAAGGCACCATGTTGTCGTGGTCCACCTATGAGAAAGAACTGCTCGCAGTCGTTAAGGCGGTCAAGAAATGGCGACATTATTTGCTGGGTCGAACCTTCGTGGTTAAAACTGATCATATGAGCTTAAAGTATTTGTTAGAGCAACGTCTTACTACACCGGCACAGTCACGATGGTTACATAAGCTTCTTGGGTTTGACTATAAGATTGAATATAAAAAGGGGGTCTCAAACATCGCTGCCGATGCCCTCTCCCGTCAACCCGAATGTTATTTTATGGCTATCTCTCATTCTTGTTCCACAATGTGGGGTGACATCCAAAGGGAGGTACAAACAGATTCCTTTTACCATCAATTACCATCTTCTTTATTTCCTACTTCTCAGCAGGGTGTAGTCCTTCGTGATGGAATTTGGTTTAAAGGAGGTGCCATCTTATTGAGTTCCCATTCACCTTTACTACCCACTATTTTAAATATGTGTCACTGTCTTCCAGAAGGTGGCCATTTTGGCTTTCACAAGACCTTTAGCTAAGGTTGAACTCAATTTTTGGTGGGTGGGGATGAAGGATTATGTGAAGCGCTACATTAGGGAATGCCACATATGTCAGCGATCTAAGACAGAAAGCATGAAGCCGGCAGGATATTTACAACCCTTACCGGTACCGGACAAAATCTGGGAGGATATTAGCATGGATTTCGTGGAAGGATTACCCATCTCGAATGGGTATACGGTAATAATGGTGGTTGTTGATCGCCTTTCGAAGTATGGCCATTTCACTCCGCTACGGCATCCGTTCACTGCCGTAACCGTGGCACGGGAATTCATTGACCATATCGTTCGCCTACACGGGGTTCCGTCTACTATTGTGAGTGATCGAGATAAAGTCTTTTTAAGTTCTTTCTGGCAAACTTTGTTCAAACTGCAGGGAACCTCATTTTGTATGAGTTCGAGTTACCATCCTCAATCTGACGGGCAAACGAAGGTCGTCAATCGAACACTCGAACAATACTTGCGATGTTTTGTAAGCGATAAACCGAAGAAGTGGGTTGAATGGTTACCTTGGGCGGAGTATAGCTATAATACTACTGTTCATACTTCAACCAAGTTGACACCCTTTCAAGTGGTGTATGGTAGGTTGCCCCCCAAGATCCTTCCTTACGTTCCGGGTACGACTAAGGTACAAGCTGTGGAGGAATATCTGCAAGACCGGGATCTTTTGCTTCGGAAATTACGTGCCAACCTTCTCGATGCTCAAAACCGTATGAAGAGTCATGCTGACCGCCATAGACGGGATTTGGAATTTGAGGTGGGGGATTTTGTTTACGTGAAATTACAACCGTACCGGCAGTCAAGTGTAGTCGCTAGACCATCGGCTAAACTCAGCCCACGGTTTTTTGGTCCATACCAGGTTCTAGCAAGAATTGGGAAGGTGGCGTACCGGATTGAATTACCACCATGTTCTCTAATTCATGATGTGTTCCATGTGAGCCTATTAAAGAAGAGTGAAGGTCCTATACCAGAACCATCACCACTTCCTGTAGTTGAGCCAATTGTGCCGGACTCCCTTCCACAACCGGAACTTATTTTGGAGGAACGAGTAGTACAGAAGGGGAGATATCGTCCGAAGACGGAGATTTTAGTCAAGTGGGTTGGTGGGTCTCGAGAGGAGGCAACTTGGGAGAACAAGTGGCGTTTTTCACGTGCTTATCCTAATTTTCACCTTGGGGACAAGGTGAATTCGAGTGGGGTGGATTGTTATGTGTCGACAACCATGAGTCCGTTGGCCGAGTCCAAAGTCATGCAGCACACTTAGTGGGAAAGTGCAAGCCATGCAACATAATTTATTTTCTCAAAATTTGCAACTTATTCCTTTTGAATTGTTCTCTGTTAGTTGTTTGGTTGGGCTAAAATAAAGGAAATCATGGGGATGCCCATATTTCCACTAACGTTTATTTTCCTATTAATTAGGGAGTTTCTTTGAAGTTTCTTGTTGGTTTCCTCTTTAAAAGGGCTCCGCCTTAAGTTAAATAAATATATGAGAAAATTGTCCCAAATCTCCTGTCTCTTATCTTCTTAACCTCTTTCTAATTTCCTTTTAATTTCTGGCTTGAATTCCCCTGTTAGAACCTCATCATTTTCACGCGCTCTATTAAATTGGTGCACCTTGTATTGTGCGATTATACAATGAAACTTTAAGGGCTTATTGTTACGGAATTATTTGGCCATTGTGTGGGTTAATGTTTGCTTAATATGAGTGATTTGAAATCCCTGTGGTTCCAGGATGGCCAAATGCAATCTCGAGATGACGATGACGACTCCATCTTGATGCAACCGCTCTCACCAAGGTCCAATGCTGCTGACCTACAACCCCTCTAAATCATCATGAAGTAAAATTTGTTGAAATATATGCTTCAGTAGATGCAGTTGTATCATTTATGTTTCTCGCTTGGCTTATTAAAATTTTTGGGGATTAACCTTATGTCGGGTTTTGCCAACTGTGTGCATGATTCATCATAGCCATTGTGACTTGCGGCTGGGTCGTCCTTCCCTAGGCAGTCCTAGGTGAATCCACCTTTAGGTGGACACTCTTTCGGTTGGAGTTTTTCTTCAATCTCAGACATTGACATAAAATATATTTCTTTAATGTTGGATAGAAATGTATTGTTTTGAGTAATATAACTATTCTAAGATCAAATTAACAATTAAATGTTCTCTTTTTCTAGGGTGGTTTAGTAGTTTATTTTAGATTCAATTAATTAAATGTTCCCGTTTTCCTGGGTGGTTTAGTAGTTTATTGTAGATTCAATAAAGAAAATACGCAGATTGAGTGAACTAGTCCAAAGTAATGGAAGTTTTTTTCCATCTTAAAGTACAATTTCGCTTTTGGTACATTTTTTACGAGTTTATTGAAATAATTGGAGCTAGTGAATTCGTTAGAATAGTATGAATAAAATTAAGGAAAAATTACCCAAAATAATCTCAACTTTACCCGGTCTTTCAAAAATAATCCCATCTTTCACTGTGATGCATAATAATCCCAACGTTATTGAAATTTGCCAATTTTGGGTCGCCGTTAAGTTTCTAACGGAGGGTTAACGGAAATGCCCGTTTTAGACAACAAAATGAAAGTTGGGATTATTTTTGATGAATTTTTATTTTTTAATTTTTTTTGAAATTTTTATTTAAATTTTTTGAATTACTTTCAACCTCCATCTCTTTTTCTTTTTTAAAGATTATTTTTACCTTAGAAAAAAAAATAGATATAAAAATAATGAAAATAACAAAAATAACTAAAATAACTAAAACAGTACAAATTAATCAAATAAATAATGTAATCAATAGAAATCAAACAGAAACTGGTAAGAAATAAAATAAATATATACGGAGTGGTGGGTTTTAACATTTTACACTCTATACGAAGTCTTAATATACTACTTATTTTTTAAAAGAACAAGCCGTCCGGTAAAATTGGAATTATTGTAGATAATTTTTTCTAAAAAATAAGTAGTGATATGTTAATACTTTGTATAATACGTAAAATATTAAACCCACCCGTATATTTTTATTTTACTATTACCAATTTCGAGTTAGTTTCCATTGATTACCTTATTTATTTTATTATTTTTGTATCATTTTAGTTACATTTCTCATTTTTTCATTTTTTATATCTATTATTTTTATTTTTTAAACTAAGACTAATCTTTAAAAAAGGAAAAAGAAATGATGATGGAGGTAGAAAGTAATTTAAAAAATTTAAATAAAAAACTAAAAAAATGAAAAAAAATTGAAAATTCATCAAAAATAATCCCAACTTTCATTTTGTTGCCCAAAACGGGCATTTCCGTTAACCCTCCGTTAGAAACTTAACGGCAACCCAAAATTGGCAAATTTCAGTAAAGTTGGGATTATTATACATCACAGTGAAAGGTGGGATTATTTTTGAAAGACCAGGTAAAGTTGGGATTATTTTGGGTAATTTTTCCTAAAATTAAAAGGGGTTAGAGCTTCATGGTCTTGTTCTCGAGTTTCACATTAAATGGGCATTGATTTTTTAAAATGTGAACATTAAAATAAATTTTAGATGGAAAAAAATGTGAACAATAAATTTTAAAGAGGGTAATAGTTTTCTAAAACACAATGACTACTGTTTTAGTAAATTTGTCTAGTTTGATTTTTTTGAGTCAAAACAGAAAGATTTTGAATTTCAATTGCACTCACTTTGTATTACATAGTGTTAGAGATTAGTGCTGATGTTTTGAAAAGATTATTTACGGCTAGCGTTTAGTGTTAGCGTTTTCAATGTAATTTGCACCCTTAAAATTTATCTAAAATGCTAATGTTAATTTTTAACGATATTTCTAAACAGGCTATTGATCTATCAAAATTAAATAATTCAGGATAATTAATTAATAATTGAGGTGGATTCAAAGTAAATTATGAGTACTTGTCAATTACTTATGAAAATTATACTCCCTCCGTCCCAATTTAAATCGCATGTTTTGATTTTTGGGCATATTTAAAAAATTAAAAAATAGAGTTAATTTTCTAAAATTGTTATTACTTTTTTGAAGGAGTGATGATGAATGAGAATATAAGGTAAAGAAGAGTGACTTATTTTAGGGGTAGTTTAGATATTTTATTTTTAAAAGTTTACGAAAACAACTAACTAGCAACTTATTTTGGGACAGAGAAAAGAGGCAAACATGCAATTTAAAATGGGACGGAGGGAGTAACATTGTGTAGAGGCACACTAACCGATTCCAAGATGCAATGAGATCTCAATTCAGAGTAAGTTGACTCGAAAAGTGTATTTTAATTAAGCTACGTTAAATAAGTGTATTTTAATTGGTTTTTTTACTATATATACCATAAATAAGTGTTTCCAACATTTGAGTTTTGATTTGGGAAACTTTGGATTTCGATATCGATTTTCGGGCTTGGTTTTTGATTGTTGATTTTTGAAAACTTCATAGAAGCCCAATAATTGATTATCACACTTTGATAATCGATTATCACATGATTTTGTGCCAAAAGAGGAGTTTGATAGTCGATTACCAATTCTTGATAATCGGTAATCCCATTTACCATTGCCCTCCAACGGATAAAATTTTGAATTTTTAGCCAAAGAATGTTTTGATAATTGATTATCGATCTACTTATGATAATTGACTATCACTCTGGTTTTCTCAAAATATTTGTCCTGATCCTCTTGGTCTATTGTGTTACAGTTAACCCCCCATTTCAGCCTATAAAAAGGCACATAAATCTCCCACTTTACACACTATTCTTCATCATCTCTTTACTCTTTCATTGCATTCATTGCATGCATTTTCATAGCTTATGAGAGCCATATTCTTGAAAAAGTTGTCATGTTCTTGAACGTTCATCATTTCACTCATATCTACTCTTAAAGAGAGTCTTGTTCATGAGTACTTAAGTGTTGTATACACTTGAAGGGAGGTTTTTTCCCTTGATTGTTACAAAGGAAGGTCATATTTCTTATGTTAGACAAAACGCGCAACTCTAGAGGGGGGGGTTAATAGAGTTGTTTTCAATAATGAGCGTTTTTCGTGTGTGTGAATAAACAAAATAAAAAATCGTAGGAAAAATTTTAAGAGTTATGGAAAGAATAACACCGCGATGTATACTGTTTCACTACCTCGTTGCTAGTGCAGTCCTTCGAGAGACTCTCTCAAAGGTCCTTCTAATCTTTAAGCTTCAACAAGTGCTTTAAAAACCGATACAACTCCAGAGCTTGAGTCACACAAGCCTCAACTTCTTACAGCAAGACTTGAATCATAAAAGTCATAAAAACAACCAATAAGGCTTGAATCACACAAGTCTTAGCAACAACTCAAACAAGATTGAGTTTTACAACACAAGAATGAAAGCTCCCACAATTGATCAAGTAGTCTTTGAAATATGAAAGCTCTATGGATGACAACCTCTTTTAGAACTCAACAATAATATTCTTAACTCTCAAAATAATATATTTGATGATGAGAATTAAAGCAAGGAGTTGAATATGAATGAAGGGATGAAAGGAGTGAAAAAATTGTGTGTTTGATGAAGGAGGATAAGGGATTTTATAAGGTTGAAGGAAATAAATCCTTTGGAGGTAGGGATGAAATGTTTTCGACAGATTTTACCACAAGTGATCAATCCAATCATCAGATCGATCACCAAGAGTTAAAAATTTGGTAAAGGATGTGATCAAGGTCACGGGGGATCGATCCAACCCCATGGATCGATCCTCTGAAGAAAATCAACGATTTAATTAGATCGATCCAATGCAATGGATCGATCACCTGATCAGAACTATGCACACTCAGATCGATCCAAACAATAGATTTATCACCTAAAGAACAATGTCCAAACATGGAGGAGCCAAATCATGTGTGCAAGTGGGATGTATAAATTGGAACTATTGATTTGTTTTAAACATGTTTTCAGGGATGAAGAGGCTCCCAAAGACAAACAAATCACAACCCTCATATATAGGAAAAGAAGTTTACCAATCTCCTTGAGGCTTATATCAATGTCAATGCCATTAACACATGATTTGAGAACTCTTTCGTTGAAAGAAAGATTGCCATAAAACAAATGAACAACAGTTGGACAATAAATATCAAATTTTCTACGCAAAAATTGAGTGACACCAAGCTTGTCAACAAAATGAATAGCATCGGCAAATGGCAAATAAAAAAATACGGTGTGATCAACAGATTTAGGGGTCAAAATCGGGCGATTCAAAAAATCATTAAAGAAGAGGTGACGAGAGTCTACCTTAGGATAAACAAATGAGGAGAAGTACCGTTCTTCTCGGGTATTACTGGATTCCTCGATTGTAGCTTTTGAGAGGGGGCGTTTGGTGCTTTGACGATTTGACATTGTGCTAGGGTTTAAGAGCCGCGAGAACTAGAAACCCAAAAAAACAAAAATTAGCACAAAAATTGCACTCAATCTAGCAAATAATTAAGTATTATCAACAAATTTGCAAGAAATTGAAGAGAAATTGATGAAGAGAACCAAAAAAGATACCTCGTTTTCAAAGAGATGATCACCCGTGTGCGTGGATCGATCCGTCGAAGGAATCCTGAACCTGGAGAAACAAAACTTAACCCAGGTGATCGATCCATTACCCCGGATTGATACACCGTAATCCATATGTGAAAATACACTCCCTAGTGGATTGATCCATGGGCCTGGATCGATCCGCTGAAGAATCATTTCAATCTAGAATTAGTTTCTTCGGCTTGGGTGATTGATCAAAACTTGGGGATTGATCCCCTCTGTTCCAATTTCGAAAAATCTTCTTAAAAATGCCCTGAAACATTTAAAAATACCCTACAAAAAAGATTTATTACACCTCCAACGCTCAAGTTAGTATGTCAATAAAAGAATGAATTAGTTCATAAAGATATCGAAAATGCCAAGTTGGTTCCAAATGTAACACTCCAACCCGCGTGACCCGAATACATGGACCAGCGGATCGGATTGTCACTAAATTGGCATTCAAACACAATAATTTTCAAAACAATTTAAAACATTTCATTCAAAACAATATTTAAATATCCATCAGAGGTAGCAAAATGGTGCGGAAGCCTTCAAGTGCTTAATCAAAATACAACTTTGGGTTCTTGCCCTTAAGAATATAATAATTCAAACTCAGATATTAAATAATAAACTCCTCCAGCTAGCATCCATCCATCTCTTCGCCCTTGCTGTCCTCCAGGATAGTTCCTCATTCTTCGTTCCTGTTACCTACGTGTAGCAAATAGGAAAAAGGGCTACACGCTCAGCATTGAAGTTGAGTGGAATCTATCTAACGTTCGACTACGCACATAGACGAACCCACTAGCTCATAACTTCATACAATATCATGCACACAAGTTCAACATTTATAACATCAAGAATATAAATGATTCACGCAACATTTTACTCACCTCAACTCTCCAACTGCATAAGTTTTAAATTCAACATTCAAGTTCTTACAATAGCTCATATCAAATACTAGCTCATAACCTATACTAGGCTAAAGCCAATTCCTCATTATCCACATTCTTATCTTAGGACTTAGAGCCACTACCTACGGCCATGACTCAAAGTCTATTCTGTGACATCAGAACCACTACCTACGGCCATGATTCTGGTCAACCCGGTACCTACGGCGCCGGTTGGGTGGAACCTCCAATCCTACGGATCAGATCCCAGATTCCATGTACGTACATCTTTACCCGGATGCCACTGGACTACGTCCACAAGGCTCTACACCTATTGTCAACTTACAATCCCAATTCTCACAAAGTAGTCCTAGAGTTCATCTAGGTACCCTATCTCATTAACATACTTTAATTATACAAATCTCACTATCAACAATTCCGTTACTTGCTTCACACAGAGCATATCAGAATTATATTTATGAATAGTAAGGGAACAACAATAATCATATATATATTCAATTAATACAAACAGCGGCCTAGCGTCGGGTGTAAACACCTTCCACTTACCGTCGTGCAAATCAAACCAATTTGAAGTAAGAAAACGTACCTAATCATCCTCGTTCAATTAATTCCAATAATAACATATAATATAATTAAATCATAATTTAATTATAAACAAATAAACCACATAATCAATCATACAAAACTACGAACGTGAATTTCAAATCTATATACATAATCTAGCGTTAGATGTGCAAGTTCTGACCTCAATTGATTGATGAATTAAACTAATCAAATACTCAAAGAAGACTTCAGCAAGTCGGCGGTAGAGCAGCGGCTATCCCGCGGCGTCCAGCTCCTCCGGACTCCGGCAAACAGCGGCGGCGTGCTCCGGTTCCATCCCGCGGCCCTGTTCTGTTCTTTCGGCCCCCTTTTCTCGCCCTAATGTACTCCGTATATTCTTTTCCTCTCTTTCTTTTTTTTTTTTACTTTGTGCGTGAGTGTAGTGTATTAATAGAAGGGGGGATTTCCGTATCACGGTAGGAGTAGGTTAGTTTAGGATATTTTCTTTTTATTATTTTATTATTAATATTCTTTATATTTAATTATTGAACTGTAACGTCTATTTTACTCACTACACTTTACATATAATTCCAAATTTAACAAATTATATATCGTTGGTCACCATTTTACGAGATCTATCCAAAAACCCAATTTTCATTTAAAACAGATAACTTTTTAAATAATTCATATTTTTGAGTAAATAAATTTAATATTTATTTTTATTAAAATAGCGGCTAACTACTAATCCGGTTTTTGGGTCGTTACACCAAATGTAAAAGAAACTCTCCCTACTAAGGGGTTTCGTGAAAATGTCCGCCAATTGATGTTTTGTTTCAACAAACTTAATTGTGACATCTCCCTTTTGGACATGATCTCGTATGAAGTGATGCATAATCTCTATGTGTTTAGTCCACAAATGATGAACAAGGTTCTTCGTTATACTAATGACACTCATTTTGTCACATCTAATTGGGATGTGATCAAGTATAAGGATGAAATCTACTAGTTGCTATTTTAACCAAAGAATTTGGGCACAACAACTTCACGCAACGACATATTCCACTTTGGTGGTGGAAAGTGCAACACTAAACAGCTTCTTGCTAAACCACGAGATTAACAAATGACCGAATAAGTGGCAAGTACTCATGGTACTCTTCCTATCGAGTTTGTAACATGCAAAATCCGAGTTGGAATAGCCAACAAATGACATGTCGAACCTTTGATATACCAAAGACCTACGTTTAATGTGCGTGCAAGGTATCAGATTATCCATTTGATTGCAGCCAAGTGCGACTCTTTAGGGCAAGATTGATACCTAGAACACATACATACGGAGTACATGATATCTGGTTACTCGAGGTAAGGTAAATTAAAGAGCCGATCACACCTTGGTAGCGCTTGATGTTGTTGGGAAACGAGGCTTGGATAACGCAGCGGAAAACAATATTTAGAGTCCAAAACTTGATTCTACCCAAGAACAACTTGCGTAAATTACTAGCTGTAGTAAAAAATTTACCGTAGCAGTGAAAAACGGAGAAACAGTCGGGGATGGTTTTGAGGAGATGAACGTAGCGCAAAATATATGAAGCCTCCAACGAATCCACACAAACTTGCTCCGGAGTCCTAGATTAAACTTGTGCTAGCAAGTTTAATTTAGGATAGTAAAAACTATAATAATACTAGTTTGGGAGTAATAAATACTACCTCCGTCCCAGAGTATTTGTTCACTTTCATTTTTACACACCATCCAATACACTTCTTTAATCCATTTTATCTTATAATTTGTATATTAAAAATTTATAGAAATTATATATTAATGATATGTATGTTAAGACAAATCAAATAACATCACACATGACTATATTTAGGCTTACACATTGAAAAAATTTGATGAGTCCAAGTGCTTAGATGAGTAGTTCCAAAAGTCAAAAGTGAACGAATATAGCGCGACAGAGGGAGTATATAGTAAAAATATTTATCTTATAAATATTTCTTTATAATATTTTGTGCATATTTCTAAGTCTTTAGAAAAATAACTTTGAACACAAAATAAATATTTTCTTCTCTCTCCCTTGTGAGTTGTGACAGCCGAATATGGTGTTTTAAAATGGGGAGGGATACTCATATTTTATAATACAATGCATTAAGGAGTTTCTAGGAAATTACTTAGGGACAAAAAACAAATTAGGCTTAATTCATTGTTCCCAACCAACACAACAAGACAAATATTCTTTACTAATCAAAGTTAGGTACCCTGGGGTGGG